GTCCCTGAGAGCAGCTCCCAGGCAGTGCGTCCCAAAACCTGCCTCTCAGAAAGTCCCCCTCCGCTAGCCATGCTCCCTGCCAGCCAGAGCAGCTTGCCTACCCCCCTTTTCCCAAGCTGGACAGGGTGGTCCTGGGGCAGGGGCTGCATCCCAGGGTGATGCTGGGAAGTGATGCCTGACCAGCAGGAGCTGTACTGGTGGGGTGCACTGCATGTATCCACCCCTGGAAATGTTTTGATGGGAGACAGGATGCTGGATCCAGCCTTTGGCCAGAGGCAGGGCTGCCTCAGGGATGTGGGGACCCCTGCAGCATCAGAGGCCATCGCTGTTTTGCTGGCGACTGGATTTTATAGTGGTTGGGGGGGCCCTGGGATTGGGCTGAGCCTCTGGCCAGGGCAGGGCAGGGTAGGAGCCCCTGCCCAGAACATCACTGCAGGCAGAGGCTCCCGCCTTGTATATATTTCTCTTGCTGTGATTTGTATTAACTTATTATGGAGTGAGCCAGGACTTCCACATGGCCAGGCAGGCAGAATGGGGGTGAGACTGGACTGGGGTGTCCCTCTGCTTTGGGAGCCCCCCCAGCCCAGCCCAGCCAGCCCTGCTGCCCCAGGAACTGCATGTTTCTGCCAGGCACCCCCATCCCTGCAGCACTGTGCTGCCGTCCCTCTTTTCAGTCATTTTTGTAAATGTGCCAAACGCTGCTGAGGCCATGGCCACACAGTAAAGAGCCTTTCGGAGCCCGGTGTGCTGGGCTGAGGGCATGGGCAAGGGGGCCCCAAGGGCCAGGCTACCCAGGGATGCTGGGTGGGATGCGGAGCAGTGCCATGACCCCTTCTCCTAACAGGACCCCAGCTTGCTGGGGTGGAAGAAGCCATGTCAGAAAAAAAATGCTCTTTAATGCAGAGCCCTGATGCCAGAGTGGGCTGGGGACAGTGTCCATGTGTCCATACATCCTGGGGGAAGCACGACCCCATCTCCCAGCAGCGGCGTCCATCTGTCTGTGTGCAGCATCCTGGCTTCTAGCTCCCTGTGGGGACAATGGGAGTCAGGGAGAGCTGCAGCATCCCCAGAGCTAGCAGGGCATTCAAAAGGGGTGTCCCAGACAAGGGGAGCACAGACTCTAGGTCCCATATCCAGCTTGCTCCCTCCACCCCAGCACTCAGACCCTTGCAAGCAGTGGGCTGTGGAGACAGGGCCCTCACTGCCCCCTCACCCTCCACGAGGAGCCAGGCGGTGGAGCGGTCATCAAACGCGTCACAGGTATAGGAGTCCTCATCCTCGGGGCCCACGTGGTGGATGATGAGTGTGCGGTAGCAGTCCAGATTGCAGATCTCGTACTTGTCACCAGCAAAGATCTCGGTCTCCCCGCGGAGCCAGCGCACGCGGCCTCGGGCGTGGGACACGGTGCACTCCAGTGTTGCCTTGTGCCGCGCCAGCACTGTCTTGTCCCGCAGTGGCTTCACGATCCGGATGGGCAGTGCTGGCAGGTGGGGGGAAGCTGACCCTTGTGCACCTCAGCCTTGGTGCTGGAGCCCAGCAAGCCCTCTCATCGCACTCCAATACCTTGCACCTGCAGGCTGGCCTCCGAGACAGCTGTCCCAGCCACAAAGCGGATGAGTCCCTTGTCCTCGGGGCGTACACTGCAGAACAATAGGAAATGACGGGCCCCTGGGGAGGAAGAGGCAGGCTCAAGGTGATGAAGATGGGTGTACATGGCAGGCAGGGGACAGAGACCCCCTCTCTGTACACACAAACTCTCCCTGCTTGAATTTGCCCCCTCGCAGCCCCAAACCAGGTGTGGAGCCACCTGCACCCCCACCTTCTTGCCGTATCTTCACCGTGCTTGAGACCTTGATTTTCTCTCCATCCCGGAACCACTCGCCCTTAACATCCCTGTGCGATGCCTCGCAGCTGAAGACAGCGTTGTCACCCTCCTGCGCCTGGACGTCCTGCAGGTCCTGCACAATGCAGATCTGGCGCTCTGCAGGCAAGGAGCAGGGTGCCAGGGCAGACAAGGGCAAGGGGAAGTGGGTGGCTCAGGGTTGGGGGTGTGCACGCCCCTAGTAGCTGGGTGGCTGTACCCTGGACGTGCAGTGTGGCAGAAGCCCGGCAGTCACCCACGTCGCAGGTGTAAGTGCCGGCGTCGGACAGCTCACAGTGGCTCAGCTGCAGGATGCGGCGCCGACCCGCAGAGTAGATACGACAGGTGGGCCCCGGCCGCAGCTCCTGTCCGTCCTGCTCAGGGAGAGCATGTTCAGACATGCAGGCAGGGAGCATCCTGCTGCTCTGCCCTCTCCCCACCTGCCCACAGCCCCTGCAGGGAGGGGGGCAAACAGGGAGGACACAGACAGGTGCTGTAGAGGTCATCGGAGTGAACCCTCACCTTGAACCACTTCACTGCTGCGCTGGGGCGAGACAGCTCACACTCAAAGCTGGCAACCCCTGTCTCTGGGACTCCCAGATCCCGCGGGACCCTCACCATAGTGACTGGAGGCTCTGAGAGAGGAGAACACAGGACAGAAAAGTTTGGTAGGGCAAAGACATGGGCAAGGATGGGGAGATGTGCCTATGGCATCTCAGCATAGGGCAAGGGTGGCACTTCTGTGGCACCACCATAAGCAAGCACTCATCATTGGTGTCCCAGTTGGCTCTGGACCCATACCCTGCTCAGCTCACATCTCCTCCCTGGGGACAGGGGCTCACCTGCCAGCATGTGCCTGAAGTGGCCCAGCTCAGCACTGGCATCTCTCCCAGGACTGAACAGCTGCAGGACAGGCAGTGTTTGTGCCACATACCCCACCCAAGCCTGCCCCGGTGCCATACCCCGCACAAGCAGGCGGGCGCTGCAGCGCAGGGTATCAGTGGTGAAGGTGATGGTGCCTGAGTCCTCCAGCGACAGCCTCTCCAGTGTCAAGCTGTGCCTGCAGCCTCTGGTGCTGATCCGGCATGTGCTGCTGGGCTTCACACGGATGCCATCCCGTGTCCAGACCCCGGGCACACTGGGATGGGACAGCTTCAGGTGGAAGGTGGCTGTCTCCTTCTCGAAGGTCTCCACATCTGCCAGTGGCATCTGGATCAACACCTTCCGAGCTGCAAGGGACCCGTGTCTGCAAGCTGGGGGTGCCTGCTCCACCTCAGATCCCCCAGCTCCCCAGTCTGTGCTTGCTGGAGTGATCCTCTAAATCCAGTCCTTTTTAACAGGCTCCCATCCATACCCATCCCTAATCCCCACACTCACCTCTCTGTTCAACCAAAATATTGTCTGATACTTACTTCCAGCTAAGTACCAGATCTGACCTACAGACTGCAGCATAGTTGCAGCAGGTGGGTGCACTCCCCATCACCATCCCAATCCCCATCCCTATCCCTGTCGCCACCCCCAGCATGGTACTCACGTTCCACGCAGACCTTGGCCTGCGTGCGGTCATGCAGGGTCTCGCAGCGGTAGGTGCCACAGTCGGCAGGGCCAAGACAGCGGATGGTGAGGGTGCGCTGGCACCCCAACTCCTGCAGCTGGTACTTGCTGCCCGGCTGGAGGAGGACGCCATGCTTCAGCCACTGCACTTCAGCAGCCTCATGGCTCACTTCCACCTCCAGGCACGCACCCCCCTGCTCCTCTGCCACCACGTCCTGCAGCTTCCGCACGAACAGCACCTGCGCCTCTGCACAGCCCATGCGCTGAGTCAGCAGCTGGCCCTGAGGCTGTGCCCTGGGCTGTGCTGCAGCCGGCTCCTTCCTTCTCACCTTGCACGCTCAGCCGGGCCGTGCTCACCAGCCCCTCGGCGTTGGCGGTCACGGTGCCTGCGTCACCCAGCTGGCACTGCCGGAGGGTGAGG